AAGATGATGATTACTATGGCAGCAAAGACGATGATTACTATGGCGGCAAAGACGATAAATATGATGATGACAAAAAGAAATCCAGCTACAAACGATCTGCCTCCCCAGGCGACAAAGATGATGATTACTATGGCAGCAAAGACGATGATTACTATGGCGGCAAAGACGATAAATATGATGACAAAAAGAAATCCAGCTATTAAAATGTTTTTTGAATAGGTTTTGCATAATATTAATTTAGTTTCCTTTCCAGAATTTTAATTTTAAATTATTTGTAAAAAAACGATTTTATTTGAAAAAAATGTGAATAGTTTATTTTTTATTTGTAAATTTTTTTAAATTTTTTGAATAGTTTTCCTTCCCCTTCCCACTCCCACCAACTCTTATTCGTTATCTAAAACTTTCAACGTTACACGATTTTTTAATTCTTCTTTTGTGAAATAATATTATAATTAATAAAACTAAATATTCCAGGCTAATTTTTAAGATTTTTCTCGTCTATTTTGCGTGTCAAAATTTCTGTGCCATTTTATCATATAACAGTATATGACATTACGATTACCTCGATTATCTCTAAAGAAAATCACATATTGATAAATTTTTGCAAAAGAAATAAAACGATTAACAAAGTAGTCAAATTTTTTTCAATGTGCTAGATTTAAATCTATGATCGTAAATATTTATTAACATATACTTTTTGAGCGCCAACCATTCCAAATCAAACGAACATTTAATTCCAAAAATTTCGTAATTTTATATAAATTCAAAGAAGATACGTGATTGGGCGGCAAATACAATTATGTGATGTCTCCAAAAGGATTAAAACAATATTATTTCCGATTAAAAATTTTAAATATGTTTCATTTTTCAATTACATCCAATTGAAGACTTACATCTGTTCAAAACTTTGCTTCAAATCACCTGTTCGGTTGTAAAAATATATGCCGCAGCGATAATAAGTTGTGTAATTTACGTGTCATTTTGAATTTACGGGTTTTGATTAAATAGTTAATAGCTTATAGACTTACCTATTTCATAGTCTCGTAGACTTATTACAGTATATTATAAATATTCTCTCTTTTTACACAATGTATAATAAAATATTATCTTCCCAATTTCGTAGTTATTAGCTTCCTACGCTAAAAAAAATGATGATTTTATCACAGAAAATTAAATAAACATCCTCTTATCCATAAAATTTACTTATGGAACCAAAAGTTAATCAATCGTTCAGCATTCAGAGTTCCTTAATACACAACGCAAATACTATCCAAAAAAACAGAATAAAATACTTTAGAAAGTCAAAATACATCCCGGGCTTTCGAGCCGAAATATTTAAAAAAAAAAACGTCAAAAATAAAAATATCATTGAATTTTTTATATTGGTCATCACTCACCAAAAGTGTAAAAGAACAAGAGGAATTAATGATAATTTAAGTTGAATAACTATCTTTTTCTCCTAATTAATCCAAAATTTGTTGGACCAAACTTTTTCTCTTCAACCCTTAAAAGGATCAATTTATATTCTGTGGTCGTGACACAAAAAGAAAATTAGAACGAAGAAGCCAGCATTTCTGACATTAAATTAACCGACAAAATTTAATAAATACTTATTTTATTCACTATTCAGAAGACCATATGACCTATTTTATTGACGTACGGACTCCTCGCTTACAAATTTATTCTTTCATTACGAACAAAATTAGTTAACAAATTAATTACATGCAACTAATTAATTTGGTAACCATCCATTCTCACAATAATTTAGTATTTAGTAACTGTATTGCACAATTATAAATAGTAACTACCGTAGTAATAATATATATTATACTGTATATATATATATAGTGTATCTATGCAACCATGTATGTTTAGCATTTTACTATCTATCAATTGTCGAGTTAACTATCATAATCAAGACTGCATACTATTTCAATTGTTCAATTAACTTTAATATGGATGATAAAATTTTGAATATAATCTGTATAATTTTAATACCAATAACGATAATTTTTACAGGATTTATTGTCATAATCCATATATTAACTTTATCTTATCTTATAATAAAAACAATTATACAATATTTTATTAATTTTATTAATAAAGAAGAAGAAGAAGATAATGGATGTTGGATTCCATTCCAACAACTTAAACAAATCGAGTTTATTGCAAGTGGAGGTTTTGGCAGAGTCTTTAAAGCATTATTGGATGATGATAGTTCAAGATTAATCTTTGAAAGTGAAACAAAATCAAAAATATTTAAAAGTGGAAGAGAAGTTGCCATTAAATATATTACTTGTTCAAATTTATCCGAATTTCATGCGCATAAATTATGTATAAAGTCTAAATCAGTTATACCACTTATCGGTATAAGCAGAGATATAGAAACGGGAGAATTTTTATTAGTAATGAAATACGCACATAAAGGAAATTTAAGTCAATATTTAAGTAAAAATCCAAAACTTTCGTGGAAAGTAAAATTCGGTTTAATCTTAGATATTGCGACAGGCCTTACCGATATCCACAGAACTGGATTAATTCATGCAGATTTTCATAGTGGCAATATATTAATTTCCGCGGGAGGAAAAGCCCTAATATCTGATCTTGGTTTATCGAAAAAATTAAATAGTTCAACTTATCCTGAAATTTATGGGGTTATTCCATATGTTGCACCAGAACTTTTTCGTCGTAAAACCGGTTACTCTCAAGCAGCTGACGTTTATAGTTTTGGTATCGTCTTGTGGGAAATTTGCTCTGGTCTTAAACCATACAATGACCGTGCTTTTGATATGATTCTTCGTTTAGATATTTGTTCAGGAATAAGACCTGAAATTCATTCTGGAATTCCAAAATTTTTTGAAATATTAATGAAATCGTGTTGGGATGAAGATTATTTAAAAAGACCATCTATGGAAATTGTCCTTAAGTATGTAAGGAATTTGTACATTAATTTTGATCAGGAAATATTAGATTTTGATAATTCGAATAACTCAAATGAAAATGATATCGGTAAGTTAAAATCATTTTACTATTATTATTATGTCATTTAATTTAATTTAATAATTTTTTTTAACTCATTAATATTAGTGAGAAATTTGGATATTAAAATTACAACAAATATGAACGATCATGATAATACAAACGAGATCAATTATTATACGCTTTGTCATGAATACATAATATAAATAATTGATTTTAAACTTTAGAGTTTATTACATAATAATAAAAGTGTATTATAAGTATAAAACAATATTAACATGGAAAAAAAAAATCGAGATTTTTTCTGTATTTTTTTTCAAAAAAATTATATATAAAAAAAGATATTTATTTTTATTAGAAGATGGTAAGGGTGGAATTTTTTTCATTTTTGTTACAATGGGTAATCGAATTGTTTTTTTTTTATGCGTGTTAAAAATGCACTTACTAAAAGTCTGTAATTTACAAAAAAAAAGAGACTAAAAAAAAATATATATATATATATATAGATAGATAATTATTTTTCTTCTTTTTTACAACTCTACAAAATTAAATCTAAAATTATGAAAGTAAATTGATGTAAATAAATTTATAATACATAAATTAATTATATTGAAATTTGTTTGTTTTTTATGAGTGCAACAATAAAATTCTTTTCTGATTCTGTGAGTGATTTATTTTCAAGAATTAACCGACAAGCTGCTTCCTTGTCACGTTGGTTTGATTCTCTTATAGCCGAAGCAACGGCAGCAGCTACAATTAACGCTCTATTCGGATCTTCGACATCAATTTCTTCTGTTTTAATATTGTTTGTAGAATTTGTAGAATTTGTGATTGACATTTTATTAATATTTTGTTTATTATTATTATTAGAATTATTTATTGTGGTGGTGTTTATTAAAATTGTTATGGTATTTGAATTTTTTGTGGTAATTTATTTTTTTTTTTTTTTTAAAAAAAAAAATTTGGATTTTTTGAATTTTTTCTCTTAAAAATACGCTCCTTAGGTAATTATATGGTGTTTTTTTTTTGATTGACTTGAATACAAATTTGGTTTGTATTAGAGTCTAGAATCCTGTCAACAACTTTTTTTGATTAGCATAGATGATCTGTAACACTGCATGGGCGCCACCTACGGGTCTAGACTTCCAAACAAATAATAACCTAGAACAAAAAATAAAATAATTCGGGAGTTTGGTGAACCTTCTAGAGCGACAGACAATGAAAAATCAATCTTTCAATATATAATCTAAACAAAATTCGTTTGTTATTTGTTTCACTACTTTGTCTTTTGTAAACCTGTACACATATAAAATTTGAAATAAAAAAGCAATTTAAGACCAAAAAGTAAATACATTCCCTTATTGCACAATTAATAAATGAAATGATACAAATTTCATATTTTAATGCGGTTATGACACACTAGTGATGTGAGTATTATGATGAGATTGAAAAGGAACCAAATATAAAATAAAAGAAAAATATTATAAAGATATTAAAAAATATTCATCTTCTAATCCTCACGTCCAATTAACCAAACGCCTCCAAAAGATGCAGCTTTAAAAGGAAATGGTATAAGTTAATAAAAATTATTTCTATCATAATTTTATTAGAAATGAAAATTCTCTCACCTGCTGCAATTCCACCAACAAATGCAGTTTGTATAGCACCCCACAAAGCTTTTTCAGGAGAAGTGAATAATGCTTTAATATATCCAAAGACTAAAAGACATACTATAGTTACTAAACTACTAGCATAAAGTCCAATAATAACATTATCCACAAGTAAATAAGGTATTAACGGTATTAGACCGGCAACGAAATAAGAAACTCCAATCGTCATAGCACTTTGCTATAAAAGAGGATATAGATTATTCATTATTTTTAATTTTAATCATTATAATTTATGATATAATAACTCACCCAAGATCTTGAAGGGTTTGGCTTTTCAAGGTTTAGCTCAAATTTCATCATAAAATCAACGAATTTTTGAGGATCAGATTTAAATTTTTCAATAACAGGTGCTAAAGCATCTTTATCTAATCCGTAAGGTGCCATAATATCTATTATCCAAAAAAAAAGAGAGATTATTATTAAATATCATTATTATTATAGTTGGTTAACTCTTTATTGAGATGCTTCAAAATACGCACCATATATCTCTTGAATTTCTGCATCTAGACAGTTTTCCACTTTAAAAATAAGAATAAACATAAGATTACATCAACTTGTAACTTGTTGAATAATGGCCATATCCTTTGAAATCATACCTTCCCATTCCTCTCTCCTTCTCTCAGCGTTGTAATGATCAGCTTCTGATTTTGCACTCAGATATCTAAATAAAGGAAAAGTAGAGATCTAAATAAAGGAAAAGTATATATGTATATTCAAACTAAAAAATAGTATATTTTTTGGTGAGTTAAAAATGATATATACCCGCCTAATCCCATCGAAATTGCACCTGAAATCAGCTCTATAATAAAAAATTTATTAATTTTTTAGAAATTTAATAATTTAAACACAAAATTGAGTAATTCCAATCTGACAAACCGGCCAGTCCTCCGGTAATAACAAGATGATTACTTCCCATAGAAGATAATCCGGCAGACAAAGCGAAGGGTACCTATAACATATTTAAAATCATTTCAATAACATTTTCAACAAAAAAAAAAAGAAAAGTCTGACTTTTTACCGTTAGACCGTCGCTAATTCCAAGAATCATGTCACGAATTAACTCTGGTGATTCAAAATGATCTTCTGACTAAAATTTAAGCAAATAATAAAAAGAAAAAAAATGTATATATATATTAAATATATATAATAGATATATATGGTTTTTTTTTTAAAAAAAAAATTTATTTTATTTCGACAATATTTACATGATGATATCGATCATGAGGCTCTTCAGGAATTGTATCATAATGGTGAGGAGGTCTACGTTGAAATATTTGACGAAGGGCCATCATTTTGATTATTTTTTAAGAGAGGAGATCCAGAAAAATGATGCTCATCTAACTTTGAAATTAAGAGATTATATACAAGTAAATAAGAATCACGTTATATTTATGGAGCCCTTTATTAAATTAGGAAAGATCTGAGAAACGTTTCCTCGTTATTGGTGCAAATTATATTTATATATTGTAGTACGTAAAATTATTGAGATCACGAAATCAAACTTTTAAAATCACGAAATACCATTGTTCTTTGGTGTAATAAATAAATTAAATAAATTGAAATAATAACAGATAAAAAAAAACTATGCCCTATTTCTCAATATGCAATATAAAAAAAAGTTTTTTTTCTCTATTGGTTTTTTTTCTCTATTAGTTTTTTTATCCAATTTATAATACAATAAGATTTTGTAATCAAATCTTAAAAGTTCTCTAATATTTACAATAATTTTTTTTTTTGTTTTTTGTCAAAACCTTCATGATAATAATCATCGATATTTCCCAAAAGAGTTTCATATTTTTTTAACTCAAATTCTAATTTACTTAATTTTTCATTCGTTTGAATATGTTTAACTTCTAATTCGTTATGTTTAACTAAATAAGTCATAACCCCAAATCCGCCAAGCTCGTTAAGTTGCTTTTGAATTTCTTCTATAAGGTCCCTTAAAATACCATATTGAAATTCCAAAATTTCTTCTTTTTTGATTAGTTCATTACGACTTAAATTATCAATATCTTTATCATCAATTGCTTTCCACATTTCAGAAAAATTCACTTTAGTTTTATGTCGTTGATATCTTGACCATTCCAAGTCAGAATTTATTCCAATGATAGAAGAAGTTATCGCAATGACTAAAATTCCAGATAAAGAAGTTAATGCGGCAATAAACATTCCAATTGGTGTTATTGGGATTATATCACCAAATCCAGTTGTTGTCATTGTAGTTATACTCCAATATAAACTGTGAAAAACGGATTGAAATGGACTTTTTTCTCTTGTTCCATTTGGTAATGTCCTATACCATGAATCTGTAAAAATATCAAATTCACCTCTTTCAGCATAATATATAATGATTGCTGAAATCATTAATATTATTAAAACATAGACTAAGTTTAAAAATATTCGAATTGATGATAATAAAATTATATTTGTCGCAATCTAAATAAAGATTTAGAATATTAAGATTAATCTTCTCATTTATTTTATAAGAGTAAATTTTAAAAATAATTACCAAGAATCCATCAGAATATTTTCCAATACGTTGTAATGAATTGATAATTCTAGTCAAACGTAGAATCCTAGTAAATCGAAGAGTCGTATCTTCAGCAAAAGGACTAATTATCTGAAGATAAAAAGGTATGATTGATATCAAATTCAACAAATTGAATGGTTTTATTGCAAATTTCCATTTATTTGGAGCAGCAAGAAAACATCCAACATATTCTATAGTAAATACTATAACTATCAAAATATCAAACGGGAGCCTAAAAAAAAAAAAAAATTAGTCATACGCACATATACATTATATATCATATTACGTATATATATACATATAATTACCACAAGTGAACATTCACATTCTTGATCATAAGAAAAGTTGGCAATGAATCGAGACAAATAATTAATATTGTAGCAAGTGTGCATATATTGGAGAAGAAAGAAAAAGCTAGCGCTTTCTTAGATTGAGGTTCCTCAAAAAAATAATATAATTTCTTTTGTAAAGGAGTTTTGTATAGTTCGGATTCGGATTGAGGTTCATACACACATTTTTCCTATCGAATAAATAAAATTACTTTATAAAAAAAAAAAATATTATTTTAAAGATCATGAGAAGAAGATTATTACCGACGTTTCTTAAATTAATTTTATATTTAAGTGGGTATATAATTTTCTTATGAAACTCATTAGGTGGTTCAATAACTTCTGAGATGCTGTAATTGATAAAAATTTTATATAAATTATTTTTTTTAAAAAAAAAAAAATATCCAATCAATTTTAAAAAAATTTTTATTACGTAGCAGTAACGTTGTTAGAGTTGGAATTGGAATCGATTGTTGCCATTCTTGAAGGAAATTGCGTTTCATCATCCTGTCTATCATTTGTGATATTCATGATGATTATTTTTTAAAAAAGGATGTGTAAAAAAGGTAAGTTGAATTTATAATAATTTGATATATGTAAATCGTAAATCCATACATAAGTATCTAACCCTAAAGAATAGAACAAATTGATTAAATTTCCCCCTATAAAATCTGCAACTTACATCATCATTATCTATTAATGTATAAATTAAAAAAGAAAAATTACGTCAAAAAATTAAAAATTCAAGAACGCCAAATTCGCAGTCAATTCTGCGCGTCAGACCACTTTGGGTTATCTATCATTCATTACTTCTAGTTTTCTACAGGTTTCATTATTAACGATCAAGTTTTTTTTTTCATTATAAGCGATTAAAAAATCGGTCAATTCCGTAGACTTATAAAACATGTGATCATAATGTGACCTGATAAAGATATAACCTAACCTTTTTCTGGTTTTCCTTCTTAGATAACGTCACCAACTTTTTTTAAAATATTGTCACTCGTGACTTCATTATATTTATTTAATTATAACGTGATCAATTCTTTTAACTTGAAATGGCGGTATCAACAATTATTTAGACGTGACCAATGTGCCCAATGTGAGGAAATGGAATTTTCTTATGTTTCCCATCATTTGAATCATTTGACTTTTTCATAAACATAACTTCCGAAACTTCGAAATTTCGTAACTAAAAATTTAATGCAATTAATGCATAAGCCGTAAATCAGAATGTAAATGATTAACTAATAATAAATACATTATGCAAGCAAAAAAAAAAAGAGAGAAATTAAATATTTACCAAATAAGTAATTTCCCCAAATTTCTAATAATTTTAATTCTAATACATGATTAAAAATTTTTAATTAGTTGGGAGTAAATTATTATTTACAAACGGGATACTCTTCTGAGTAATCTTACCGCATGTTCTCATTCGCGTTTTTTGTCAAAATCGACCTAATGCAGATTTATTTAACTAAATAAGACGGCATGACCTTATCACTATCAATTTAATTTCAACCAGTTAAGAGATAAGACACCTGCATCATCTTAAACTTTAAAATGTTTTTTTTATGTTGATTTTTTTTAATTCTCACGCAGCGTTTATTGATAAGATTATCTTTACGCAAGCAAATATTGTGAAAAATATATAAATAAATATGTAAAGAACCATTTTTTTCAAAAAAAAAAAAATTAAATTTTTTTCTTTGGTTTTTTTTTTGGGAAAAATATATATAAAATATATATATAAATATATATACATAATATACAATTATTTAATAGAATTTTTTTTTTTTTTTTTTTTNCTAACTTTTTATTATTTCTTTTTTATATTTGAAATAATGATAATATTACTAATTAAATTTTCTTTTTTTTTTTTTTTTTTTTTACTACTAATTTTCTCTTTTAAGTTACGTTACCTTCTTTTATTTGATATAAATTTTATTCCTTTTTGTTCAAAATAAACAAATGTTTCGAGATACACAATGGATCAGTGATTCAAAAGTGAAAAATAAAAAAAATAAAGCCAAGCGAAGACATACTGATCCAAGTTCTGATACTTCATCAACAACATCATCTGATAAAGCCAGTCAACTTAGTAATAGTGATGAAATATTGACAATAAACTCATTTTATGACCCTTTGCCACCTTCAGATCCAAAAGTATTACGAAATATCGAAGGAGGGGAATATTTTTTACCAAGCGCTGATAAAAATATTGAAAGATTACAAATGCAACACTATTTATTTAGTAAATGTGTTTGGAGAAGTAATTATTCTTCTCCACTTGAAGAAAATTTTGAGCTTGGGGGCGCAAAAGTATTGGATGTTCAGTAAGTTAACTGATTAATTTGCATTGTTTTACTTTTTTGCTTGCTTTGTATTTATTTAATCTGAACTTAGATGTGGAAGTGGAATTTGGATGAGCGATTTAGCTACGGAATATTCTAATTCAACATTTGTTGGTATAGATGATGATGCGGAACGTGCAAGAATAGAAATGGAATTACCCAATGCCGCATTTCTTCATCACAATCTAATGGAAGGGTTACCTTTTCCTGATGATACTTTTGATTTCGTACACCAAAGATTTTTTACTTCTGTGAATGAAGCTGATTGGGAAAACTATATTCTACCAGAGATTGTTAGAATATTGAAACCTGGAGGATGGGTAGAGTTAATGGAAATGCAACCTTTGTCCAATGCTGGTCATACGACGAAAAAAATATTTAAAGCTTGTAAGTATAATAAGAACTTGTTAAATATGTGTTAATTACGTCAAGACTTTATTATTTACTAATCTAGTTTTTATTAATAGATGATGAATTTAATTTGAAAATAGGAATTCATCAATTAAATCCTTGTGTGTTTCAAAAAGCTTTAACCTCCAACAAGATGATTGATTCTAGCACCGTACATTCAGATCATAGAATTACTCCACTTTTCGGTGGAAGACTTTCTCAACTGGTAATTAATTCGATTCAATACGATATTGGCGTTTAATCTTTCCGTGATGATTTACGAGATACTATATATACATATATTTAGGTTTGTCAGAATCTCTTTAAACGGTTAGAATTAAAGAAAAAAGAATTTTGTGAATTTATGAATATGAATGAATCAGAATTTAATGGAGCCATAAATACTATGTACGATGAAGTAAATAAACTCAAGACTTATTGTAAGACATACAGGTATTTTTGTTTTTGGTTACAATCTTATTTAATATTAAAATGTGAAATTCATTTATTTCTTTTGATTTTTAGAGTTTACGGAAAAAAAAGTTCATGATGTATGGTGTATGATTTATGATGGTGATGTGTAATGTGTCCATGGTTGTAATATAATATCATTGTAAGTTGTATATAGATTATGCCCCCTTTTTTTGCTTGATCATTTAGAATATTATTAAATTAACTTTGTAAATTTCCTACAATTAGTTCTTTCTAATTTATATTTTAATTTCATAGAATTTTTGGATATATTGATTTATATTTTATTTTATTTTTATTTATTTTTATTACATAGAGATAACATAGGCAATGATGGGATATATTATTGATTTGTAATTTGTATATAGTTATATATTTGATTAATGTATAAAATATTTTCGATCCTTTTTAGAAATTCATATATAGTTTATTATTTATTTAGAACACAAAATTATTTATTATATATAAATAAATAGAACGTTTTTTTTTAAAGAATTGATTTAATTATTGTAGATATAGTATGAATAATTTGGTATAACTGAGTATGTGATAGGCACGCGTGTGTCACGTGACACATCATTAACGTTGAAGATTGTGTAATTAAAATCCTGTCACTAAAATGCTTTAAATAGACAATTACTTTTTGTATAACAATCCGCTATCTTTACATTTGTAGCAATTGATAACCCTTTTTTTTTTTAATATTCAAGAATTTACCCAAATATGATAATTCAATTAATAATTTGAGGAACTCTTTCTTTCTAAAATCTCATATCTGAGTAGATCAATTTTGAAATTTTTATCAAATTGGGTCTATCAGTATCTATTTAATCCGGGTTTTCATTAATTCCGATAAATTTTCGGATAATCATATCGTTTATCGTTAAAATTATTTTCATTCTCAACTTAACCAAATTTGTATTTAAAAAAAAAAAAAAAAAATTGATAAAATAATACATTTTAAACGCGTTGTTTACTATCATAAATAATATACTTCATTGAATGGTCAAAATTTGAAAGGTTTATAAACTATAAATAGTTGATGATAAAAAGGTTTATTTATCGTAAAAGAAAAAGAGGACTATCACTATAAATTAATCTTTACTTGTACATCTTTGTTAATCCTTTGATAAAGTTTAGATAAGAAAGAATTTACAACTAAATTTAGTTAGATTTTCTTTTTTGTAATAGGTATGAGAAAAGTTCTTGTAAAATGAATGATAACGAATTTTTTTTTTGTAAACTAAAGCACTAAATTAGAAGAAAACAAGAAAGGGGAAGAAAGCCACCAGATTAGAAGAAAGGTACTAAATTAGAATTTGTTTTCCAATTTGGTTTCTGACACATGAATAAAAAGCATCAAGATAGAAAAAAAATTATTTTACTTTACGATAAGGTCATTTTCTCGTGATTGGGCGGTTGGGCGGTCAGTTCATGATAAAGGAAGGAGTCATTGATAAAAGAAAATAACAATTTATCTAATTATATATATATATCAAAATAATTATATTTAGCCAGCCAATTATCTGTTGAGGTCGGGTAAACTGTTCTTATCAAACTGCCTGTTAAGGATATACAATAGTTCGTTTTTTACCTTATTTCTTGCAATAATCACGTAAAAGATTAATTATAAACCGGTAGAAGAATAACATCAATTAATAACAATAGATTTTTTTTTTATTATTTTATAATCTTTTTTTTTTTATTATAAAAAATTGGTGAGGTTTTCTTCAAATATATATATTTTTTTATTACTACATTTTTTAAAGAATTTTCTTTCTTCACTTTTAACGACTTTAACGACGATTAAAAATTATTGGTTCATGTAAAATCATTGGTTCACAATAAAATTATTGGAACATGTTTTTAATTTAATTCTTTGCAGTATTCTTGCATTATTTATTCAAATTTACAATTAAGCAATTATGAATTTGAATCAAAGAATCATAAAATTATGAAAGCGAATCTCTACCCTTACTCATAGTAAAGTTCAATATATCCTCCTTAATAATTTTCAAATAATGATATACAGTATATCCTTTTCATATTAGTTTAATTAGCTAAAACAAAATCCCGACTATTAATTAGTGATCTGAGAACACTATTATAAACAATACCGGGCTGTCTAAGATAATTTTGGAATGCAGAAATAAAATCGTTTGGGGTATCAGCGCCCATTCATGCACTATATTCTCTTTATAAAAGTTTCGCATATCCTTTTTATAAAAGTTTATATCCTCTTTATAAAGTTCAATTAAGTACTATATCCTCAATTAATGTAATATATCTTCTTTTATAAAAGTTCAATCAATTAACGAATCATTGCACATTCATAGGGATTATTTGCGCCCAAGTATAGGAGGAATTACTTCACATTCCATTTACCCTCGCCCATACTAGGATTATTTGCCCGAGTATTATCGTCTACTGCCCATAGATATACCTACTATATCCCCTTTTATAAAAGTTCAATTTCTTCCAGAGTTTAGTTGATCTAGGAAGCTGCTGCTGCTGAAATTCATAAACGCGTTTATGGATTCAGTTAAGTACAAGACGTACAAGTAATTACGTAGATATACTATTTTCAAATATGTAAAATCTAAAATCTTCAAAAGTTCAGTATAGTCTCATCATGTGGAGGCTCAATGGGCAGTATTTTCAGGATGGCAAAAAAAGTCATTTAAATTATTTACTAAAATAATTAAATAAAGCGCCAAAAATAAATTTGGATGTTCAGAACTATAGCGTTTAAGTATATTGTTTCAGTTATCTTATTATAAAGAAAGTACTGTATAACTCAAAATTGTGATGGGATCAAAATTTTCTAAAATAAAAATTTAAATTTTAAAGTTATCAATACTATGGTCCAAATTTGAATATTTGAATATAGTCAACTTTCCTTAAATGCGCCCTTTATAAATGTACCCATTATGTATACCCTCCCTAAATGTACCCTCTGGTTAGGTATGATCTCTAATTATTTACTCTTTATAAAATGCACACCCTCTCTAAATGCACTGTTACAAAAAAATTATGTATATAATTCCAAGGGGTGAGTTGACTGTATTGTATCTGTTGTCTTAATATAAACTCTTTTCAAGGTTTAAGAACTCAAAACTGTGATGAGATCAAAATTCACGTATATTACTAAATTAATTTTACGCTCTCTAAGATCTTTTTATAAACTCTTTCCAAAATATAAGAACTCAAAATTGTGATGATATCAAATTTATGCATTATTTATGCTTATTTCTGAATTAAAAAAAATATATTATTATCAAATCAATTAAATATAAATAATTTATAATATCTTTATTAACTTCTGATAGGTGGACAACAGCAACATCATCAAGAAGAACAATCTTCACAATCTTTAGGTGAGGATCCATTCATATCATCGCTTCATCAATTTTAATACGTTATTTAACGCGCTTAGGTACGAACGCAACTGCAACTTCTACAAAAGAAATTATAAGCCTACTCCCGAAGTGCAATGAAAGTGTTAAAAATAACGGTATTTCTAAATTAAATCTACTTTTAAATTAAATTTAAAAGTTCTTTGACGCTGTTTTGGTGATGCAATTTTGTGAGAAGACAAGTGTCTTCTTAAAATAGAAGTTCCTGATCTGATCGAAAATATAGCATTACATTTTCGACAAACAGGACGACCAGGATATTTGCATCAAAGTGACATACGGATAACTTAGTTCTCCTCACTCTCAAAGCTATCAATTTGATATTGTATCAGATGATGATATCAAATTTATACATTTATGCTTATTTCTGAATTATTTTTTTTAAAAAAAAAATTTTAATACGCTTTATTTCATAAGGTACTGCAACTTCTACAAAAAACATTATAAGCCTACTCCCGAAGTGCAATGAAAGTGTTAAAAATAACGGTATTTCTAAATTAAATCTACTTTTAAATTAAATTTAAAAGTTCTTTGACGCCGTTTTGGTGATGCAATTTTGTGAGAAGACAGGTGTCTTCTTAAATAGAAGTTCCTGATCTAGTCGAAAATACAACATTACATTTTCGACAAACGGGACGACCAGGATATTTGGCTGTTTTAGCATCAAAGTGATCCCATACGGATGACTTAGCTCAAAGCTATCAATTTGATATTGTATCAGATGATGATATCAAATTTATACATTTATGCTTATTTCTAAATTATTTTTTTAAAAAAAAAATTTTAATACGCTTTATTTCATAAGGTACGAACCGCAACTACAACTTCTACAAAAAAAATTATAAGCCTACTCCCGAAGTGCAATGAAAGTGTAAAAATAACGGTATTTCTAAATAAATCTACTTTTTAAATTAAATTTAAAAGTTCTTTGACGCCGTTTTGACGATGCAATGACAAGTATTTTCTTAAAGTAGAAGTTCCTGATTTGGCCCAAAATACAGCATTACATTTTCGACAAACAGGACGACCATACGGATGACTTAGTTCTTCCTACTTTCAAAGCTATCAATATATTGTATCAGTTATCTTTATTATAAACTCTTTCCAAAGTATTAGAACTCAAAAATTGGGATGATAGCATTTATTGCGTATTTTTGCGTATTTCTAAATTCAAACCAGCGGCCGATCACGAAAGAAAAAAAAAATTCATGACTTGGTACTTTTGTCAAGTTGGGTACCTTTACCTCAGCTTTGGTTGTTAATAATTTGTATGGGAGTATGGGAGTACAGTACAATATTTGGCAAAACAGGATAGAGAGTACAAAAAAATAATATTAGGTTCAAAAAACGTTATGATAACATTCACATTGGTTGACAGCAATAAAGAGATGCACACGATGCAACATTTCATCAGATCATAAACAGAAAGGCATGAAAAGAACCTCATAAACAAAAAGAACATCTTTTTCAGTAAGTATAATAATAATAATAATAATAAATAATAATAATAAATAACAGATAATAATAATAATAGATTAAAAGATTATTATATTGGATTATCAGGTTAAAAAATCGAGTTTTTGGTTAAACAAAGAAAAAGTTTTTTAAGGGATAAAAAAGTTAACAACATTTATGTTTATATTTTTTTTTCATGAGAAAAGAAATTTAATAATTATTCGCCAATCATAAATAATCAAGTTCATGCATTATTTAACTTGTTTCTAATAAAAAAAACCTTGTGTTTATAAAAAAAAACCCATCAATGAATATTTATATCGAAATTACTATGATTAAAATTTCCATCATTAAACAGTTTATCACTCGCGTGGAGATTTGATTTTTTTTTTTTCTTGGCGAAAAATTTAAAGTAAGGGATATGATTCGTTGTGTTACATGAATGTAAAAGATTATGAAATCTTTTCTGTAACACGATACAAAGCTTTTATAATTAAGAGGATCATATGATATAAGATCAATAGTTATTTTTCCAAGATTGAAAAAGATTGAAAATTTCCTAACTAGAAAAAATAATTTTTTTTTTACCCACTCAAAATATTAATTACACAAAATAAAAAAAAATGCAAAACGGTACAAAAAACAACGTACAAAAAAAAATTTTTTTTTTTTTTTTTACGTAATAAAAATCCAGTAAAACTAAAAAAACTAAAAAAAGATAAATTTTCGTTCTTACTCCGATTAGTTCATAAAAAACCAGTTATACTTAAATGGTATTAAGACAATCCGAAGGAGAAAAATACTAAAAAATAAAATAACAATTTTGCATGTGATTTATCACACTACATCATCTTTATCCAATTATACATGATTTCGATTGTCTAATTGTTTACATTTGTAACTTGATCGTGGGGACAACTGTGTAATTAGTGTAATTAGTGTAATTAGATCGTTATTCATATTGGTTACATATATTTGACGAACCGACCGACAACTGACAGTAGATCATTGATGCTCATAATCCTACACATTTTTGTATAAGATGATGTTACACCAGTTAAATTACGTCTTAGAAAAAAAGAAAGACGAAAGAAAAGGGAAATGTATATTCATGTATTAAGAATGGGAATACAATTTAAAAATATTCATATGAATGAAAAAAGAATAAAGAAGTAATATGATTTAATATATTTTTTAATATTTTTTATGAAAGAAAAAGAAAGAATTCTTATGATACATGTAACAATTTCCAAAAGATTTTTATTGTAACATTTTCCAAAAGACTTATTGTAACTTATTATATAAGTTTCAAATTTATAGATCATGAATGGAATAAAAGTCGAGAAAAAAGAAAAAAATGGTTATGACGGGTTCGATGGTTTCGTTTTAAAATAAAAAACTTTTTTATTAATTTATTTATTTATTTATTTATTTATTGGTATACAATAATATTTATAATAATATTTATAATATATATTTATATATATATAAATATCGTATATTCCGCATGGTTTAGTAATTGATTAAAGATCAAAAAAAAAAAAAAAAAATCTTTAAACATTGGGCATGTAGTAAAAATATCCTACATACTGTATAATATAAATAATCGCTCTAATAATACTGAAAACTATTTATAATTAGCAGGTGAGAAATGGGTTTTTGTTAGAAAATGGGTT